CTTTGGCCCATGAACTGCACGTTTAGACACGCACACTAGTTTTGGGAGCAGAATGCGTCTGATTTGCACTTGAAACTGTCTCAAAAGGCTTAGCATATCAAGCCCTGCACTCTTAAACGAGATGGTTCTTCAAGGATTCTTTAGTCAAGAAAATGGTTCTATATAGAACCATGAACACTCAAAGAACCTTTGCATGATTTAATGGTTCTTTGCATCATGAAACAGCTGTTCAGATTGAAGGAGAATGTACTACAGATGGATCTATATAGGACCTTTTTGAAAAGGGATCTATATAGCACCAAACAGGGTTCCACTATTGTTACCAAAGCCAAAGAACTCTTTTCTTTGGTACTATATAGAACCCTTCATGCTAAGAATGTAATGATCTCGAGTTTATACTTTGCAGGCTGTTTGATTTAGAAAGAGATGGAGAGGAAATTTGTGAGGAGCCATTTAAACCCATTTCATCACCACCTGTCCAAAACAAAACCATCTGACATCATCTATTCGTTATCAAAGTCTCAGAGTTCTTTTCACTGAATGAACGGCACGCCAACACTCCTGCTGATGTCAGCTCCCAGTCGACGAGTCATTAGTTATTTCTCTGTCGCTTATTTTTGGGGAATGCCATCCAGAAAGCAGATGTTGGCGCTTTAGCGTAAATAACATTGTGCTCTTGGGCTGCCGACAACCTAATCAATTAGAGGTGAAGCCATTTTACCATCTGGTTTAATCCACACGTTCTTCAGTTTTGAACTGACGGAGTATTTCTGCATATGTTTGTTCAGTTTTGTTTGTTTGAGCGAGTAGAAAAATGAGAAAATGTCGAGATGTTTTCCAAAACCATTTCAGTTTCGAATGCACGGGTGCCTCAGGCTTGTGTTCATGAAAGGCATTTGTGGTCAACAGGTGGGTTTGCAGTCCCACAACACCTATAGCCTAGGGCTCCAGGTTAAAACCCTGAAGATTCAGTGTAAATCCCATCTACAGGTCAGTCCCCAGCACTGCTAACGGGTGTGAAAGTGGTGCGAACGAGTCAACTTGTGCAATTCTGCAGCACCTACAGCCACTGTTGCCCTTGAGCAAGACCCATTCACTCCAGGGACTCCACAGCATAGCTGCTTCTACGATACAATAAAAGCTCGATAATGTTTTTAGTGAGTGGACACAGCAGGGTCTACATCACCACCTGCAGAGCCTATTTCCTGACTGCAACATTGTGTTTAGGTTAGCACGAGTATAGTAGCAAGATCAGAGTGCTGGACTGAGGTCAATCAAGCATGCTCATCACAACAGTGCGCCACGCACAGGACGTTCAGTGTTTTAAGCAGTGTTAAAGTGTTATTTCACGTCTTTATTTTCCATTCATACTTTGCTGGATGTTGAATGTAACGCTGACTATTTTACAAACCTTTTAAATATTTTACACTGTGTTCACTTAGACTTTAAAGGAGTAGTTGGCAAAAAATCAAATTTACATGATTTTCTACTTGCCCCAAATGCAACCTATCAGCCAAGGCATATTTGCTGTCAAAATTTTGCTTCTGCAGTTTAGAACTAGAGCTACGAGGCTAATGGTGCTAACAAACACTGGAAGTCAATAATCACCCAAACCATTTCGGTAAATACCTGCCTAAAACTACTTTTGATTTGCTAAAACCAGGTCTTAATTCAGGTTGCTTGTCGATGTGGTTTAGAACACAGTATAAATCACTGTGAACTATGAAAATAATTTTAAAAAACTGTGTGTAGCGCAACTGGGTGGCATTTCGTGCAAAATAACCGAAGATGGGGTCAAGGGATTTCACAATACAGACACACTGTACAGTAACGTAGGTAAAGAAGCTAAACGTACTCAGAAAATCAATACACTGTCTGAATGCAAATTTTTGGATCACATTTTCTACAAAAGTAAGCTTCAGCTGTATATGTTTGAACTTGAATACGCACTTGAAGAACCTACCTGGACCCACCTCTTAGCACAAAGCTGAAGTTGAAATTTCCATTCCACCTTAAATGGTGCAGCAGATACACTGTGGGGCCTTCTTTTTTTCTAAATGAGTTCACCAAGCGTGTTGATATAATTTGAAGCAAGTGAAGATTCTGGCATGTATTTGTGGAAACGATCCTGGTGACTATTTACTTCCAGTGTTTGTTAGCAGTGTCAGCCTAGCAGCTCCAGTTCTAAACTAAAAAAACGAAACTTGCATACCAAACATGTCTTGGCTGATCGACTACATCTGGGCAGAACTAGTAGTGTTTTTCGCCAATCCATTCCTTTAAAGAGTTATGCATCAGGTTAGAAACACGCAGGTATCACACTGGTAGCAGTATTATCTTCTAATGTCGAGCGATCCTCTGTTTGGAATCTAAATCTAGCTGCTTGGAGGTTCCTCAAGAAGTTGGCACAATATGTCATCTCCACGCACCAAAGGCATACAAGCCTCAAAGCAACGTGCAAGCCATCAATCCCAGAGTTCCTTTAGATGCTGTCAGGAAGACTCAACATCTGGCCAGGCATGCTCATTAGACTAGCTAATGATGGAGAGATTGAGCTGGAGGGCTGAAGATTACAACTCTTACACTGAAGGGGGAAAAAAACGGAGCAGATAAGTGAAGCTGTAGGCGGAGGGGAGGAGAGTGCTGGAGGGGAGAGGAAAAGAACACTGCAGAGGAGGAAAACGGGAGGCGGTGGGGCCATGAGTCAGGAAGGAAGAAGCGCAGGGAGGAAAGAAAGGACTGAGACGTCATTCTGTGAAAGACTATGGAGCCTCCACTAGGTGAAATAGATCTGCAGAGTCATTACAAATGGCCTTATCCAGGCTCCGCCCACAGAGTGTTCTTGCATAGCGAGTGTTGCTCATGTGACTTTTTATACTCTGTCTTAAAAATTAGTCCCTGTATACACTGGTCAGGCATAACATTATGACCACCTCCTTGTTTCTACGCTCATTGTCCATTTTATCAGCTCCACTTACTATATAGGTGCACTTTGTAGTTCTACAGTTACAGACTGTAGTCCATCTGTTTCTCTGCATACTTTGTTAGCCCCCTTTTACCCTGTTCTTCAGTGGTCAGGACCCCCATGGACCCTCACAGAGCAGGTACTTACGAGTTTGACGTAATATGTAAACATTATCAAAGTTGAAAATGCACAATTCACTACTACCATACTGTCCATATAAGGAAGTTATGCAGCAAGAAACAGTCAGTTCTTAATTCAATATTTGTGATGTCACAAATGTCACTTTTTACTTTTCTGCATGGTTTGAAAACTTCAGTTATCCTTCAGATTGTCTTCAAATTTCATAACGAACAGGCCGACGGGTCCAAAAACACCCAGAAAAACATCTTGTTACTTTAACATCAGTTACAAGTTAAGAATGTTTTTCCTTCTCCTACGAATTTAACATTTTAGAGATACAAGGTTTTGTTCTGACTGCGACGATATTCGCTCATTCAGCTTACAGCAGTTTAGCCCCGCCCATTCATACTGAAGTTCTAAGGAGTGTTTCAGCTTTGAGTGAGGTGCAACAGCCGAGCTCAGTTTTCTTATATCAGTCTTAAAGGCACAATAACAAAAACAGCCTGTTTAATTCTAAAGGATAAAGAGAAGCTGAAAATGGTCATGTAGAAATGAATGATTATTTGTGGTGCATAAAAAAAAACTAATGTTATAAGTCAGGAAAAAATACTAGAAAAATGTAGGATATGGGTTCTTACAATTTTAAATCATCAGTTTATGTTTTGGTATCTAGTTTATGACATTCCAGTTTACAGTGTATAAGAAATTACTGAATAAAAAATATGAACATTTAGAGCTTCAACATTTTATAATGGTATTGTGTAGCCAAACAACTGTAACTCTAGATCTCTAGGGGTTAATGTAGAGTACGTAAACTGCAGATGTGTGAGGGTGAGGAGGTGGAGATGGATCCGTTTTGAACAGTGTGTACTTTCTCAGTGTCTGTTAGAGACAGTCCCTCAAACTAAGCCAAAGCTTAGGTGTGTGTGTAAAGGAATCAACTTCGGCGTGCCCTCCAACCCTGCGTTTCTCAGGCCAGTAGGGGGCGAGGTGGGGGTCAGGGGGGTGTGTCATGGGGGCGGTGTCCCCTTGGCCTCCTTAATGATGAGCGATGTCCTCCAATTAGAGACGCTGACAGCCGCTAAAGTGGCCGGTCATTAATCACATGCCTGCCGCTGCTCTAGCGAACAAAAATCACACTTTGATTTATGATTCCTCCATCGCTGCTATTCCTTCCTCTCTTTACCGCTCTCTCTCTCTCTCTGTCCCTCACCTTCAGTCAGACTCTACCATTTGTGCTGGAATCAGTGTCTTCCTTGGCAATGATAAATCAATCAGCACAGGCTGTGCTGGGAGAAGAAAGGGTGCTGTGACCTTTCATGTACCGAGAAAACACCATCACGGACAATGAGTAACTCAGACAGGACTCCACGTACATTACATCAGTAATATATACGGTCATATGCAAAAGTCTAGGCACCCCTGGTCAAGTTTCTAAATACTACCTTTACTGCATGTAGCGCTGCAGTTCTGTCCTTCTTGTCCTTTTTATTACTGTGCCTTTAAGACTAAAATAGGTAAATAATCTCTGCTTGTCTTATTTTTATCTTGCCTCAAAAAATGCCTTGTAATGTCTATGTGAATGGGTGGAGCTAAACTTCTGTATGTAGATATATGTAAATGCATTGGATTTTGTGACGTCATAACAACAATGAATTTAAAATGGTCCACTTTGTAGCTTAATTTCCCTGTATGATCTGTATGGATAGGGGAGGGAACGTTTTGACAGTGTTTACATACTACATAAACTGTTTTATTAGTTTTCCAGATATGGGCTCTTTAAACGAATTCATAACCTCCAAATTCTTTGTCCCTACATTTCTGCTGGTTTCCAAAAAATATCAGCACCCTCCTTTATACACAATCCAAAAATGAGAACGAGCAAGCAAAACATCCAAACAGAGTGACTACTTACATAATCAGAGTCAGACTTGGAGTCGTAGTACTGTATATCACTCTCCTGAAAAACAGAACAAAGGAAAATAATCAGCTTCGCAACACTGAGGAATAAATATCGGTTCATTTTGAAGCCTGGTCCCAGTCTGGTCACAGACTGACCTGTCTACTGTCCTCAGATCTGCAGCAGAAATGTACAAAAGGGACAGACGCACGAATAGCCCTGGTCCTCGGATGCTCTTCGTTTTCATTGCTTACTAATGAAACACTGCGGTAATGAAATAATGACCCTGCCCTGGGGCGGCTCGGAGGAGACAGAAACGGTAATCGCTCTTAATGCCGTTTGTCATTCGGTGTGATTTCGTGTGCGGCGCTGCGTGCATTTTTTGATTCGCCAAGCGAGAGATTTATTTTTGTTAAACAGATTAGTGTTTGGAGTTCGGGCCGTTTTGCTAAGGGAGCAGCAAGCGCTCGAGGTGAAACAAGAAACGTGCTCGGAGAGCAGAAAGCTCCCAAAACAGCTGCAAACCGCTTCGTGAATTGGGGGGGATGCTTCGACAGAATGTTCTGATTTTAGGACAATGTTGAGTAACGTGTCCGTTAACTTTAGCTGACTGAATGAGACAAACAGCTGCTATTCTGGAGAAGATATGAATTATTCCTGATAGTGTAGCACTTATGGGTCAATACGTGTTCTAATTCTATCAGATTAAAAGCTCATGGTCAGTGCAATTACATCAGTTGCTCAGTGTAGTAAAGCCCAGGTTCATTAAAGAGGTAGTTTGGCAAAAAATCAAAACATTCTGACATTTCATTCTTAGCCCAGATCTAATTGATCAGCCAAGACATGTTTGGTGTCTGAATTCTGCTTCATTTATTTTGCACTGTAGCTAAGAGGCTCTTTTAGTTAACAAGAAATTAAAGCTTATACCCCACCAATTAGCATGGTTCAAACTGTATGGCTAAATCATCAAACATACACCTCAAGCTGTATCAAGCTGTTAAGCAACCTCTAGTAAATTTGCCTTTGTGGTTTCTGATACTGTATGACATACTGTTACATATAAAAATGGACAAAAGAATGGAAGCGTCAGCATGGATGCTATGCAACATACTTACTTAACAACTGAAGCAAATTTACAATATATTTTTTGCACAAACTAGCATCAAAAGAATAGAACAATACGTAGATTAACCTGGCTTCTCCGGCTCGGCAAAAACAGTGCTAATTTTTGCTTCACATCCAATTTGCTCATGTCCTCTTGCTTATGTCTATGATTATCAGACACTGCTGGAATTTGTAAAATATTATAAGCCATTCATCATCACTAGCAGCTGTTAAGCCACAAATTCTTGGCTTGATGTGAAGACCAGGCCCTGAGATCATGGCAATACCTGATGCAGTTAAACAAGAGACCATCTCAAGAGGAAACAGAAGCATGACAAGTGGGCTATATGCTAATCCCAAGAAGTTGGGCATTTTTTATGTTAGTTATTACTAATGTCCACTCCACTGATAACAAACTGGTGCGGAACTTGCTGTGTATTTATTTTACTAAAACATGACAAACATCTCTGACTTCATTCAGCTAAGTAGGCCATTAGCAATTCAGCTAAATGGGGTACCTTGGCCTGGTTTGCACTGTATGCATGCTGCTTTATCACTGCTTGTTTGTGGCATAAAAGGTTATGACAAAACTCACACCTCAGCCAGTACACCTGATGAACCAGTATATCTCCCACTACTACCATGCAGTTGGTATAACGCTAACTGGTGCACATACGTTTTCCTTACTTGTTAGCTACATTAGCCTTATAGCTCCAGTGCAAAACTGAAGAGACGTACAACAGACATCAAACATGTCTTGGCTGACTGCATATGGGGTAAGAGGGAAATTGCATAACTGTGATTATTTGCCAAACTATCGCTTTAAAACTATAGTCTCACCAGATGCTCTGACTGAATGATGGTGGAACCTTCCAGCTGATATTCTCTCAAACATCTTTGACACAGTGTGTCTTTTATCTCTGCTGCAATTAGCACAAAATGTACAACAGTGGCAAAATGAACATAAAGGCGTCCATCGTTTTAACATCAGGCGCAGACTGTGTGGTATGTGATCTCTAAGTATAGCATTAGGCTGCCACTTCGCCTCGCTGTGTGTTGAGACTGAGCATTATGTACTGAAGTTTAAACGGAGGTTGAGAGTGGCATATCCATCTAGTGTAATGCCAGCACAGTTGCACACAGCGACTCCCCGCTGGCTGATCTCCACGGGCGGCCTGGAGCTCTTCTCCTCCCTCTCTCCTCCTCTCCTCCACTCATCCCTCCTTCTTATCCCCCGCAGAGGACAGGCTCTCAAGGGCAATAGAGCTAAGTGTGAGATTTGAGACTCAGTTCTTTTATTTTGTCCCAATTTGTCCCAGTTTTTTTCCCCCAATCACAATCCGAGTGCTTCAATATTGAGCATCTGCTGACACCAAATCTGCGCAGATATTGTATTTTTGTAGATAATACAGTACAGTGCACACTTTCAAGAACAATTCTGGGTAAGGCACCATTGAGATGTCACATCATTCCGAGTGGTTTGATGCGAAATCGTTCGTTAGTTGTGTTGTAAATTGACGCCAATCACCCACACCAGACTATTTGTTAAACTAATTACTTTGTCCAAAGTCTAGCAAGTATTATATCTCAAAAAAAACACTTCATATGTGAGAGAAAAAAGTTGGAGTTGGAGAAAAAAGGCTCAAATTTTTATTGCAGGCAAAGTGCGTTCAGACTGGACATAAGGCACTGGACAGAGTCATGTTTTTATACACTTTTCAGAGGTGAGGTCATCCCCTCTCTCTCTTTTGCTGTGTCACATTTTTGGACCCAATTAAATTTGACCCTAAAAGGTCTAGTAGTCTTTTTCATATCTAATCATTTAAAAAGGGCAAGCTGCATCTTTGGTACCCAACGCCTCTCTTGTTGCTTATCAAACACCCATTTATACGCTGGCCTCCTTGTGGCTTAAGGTTCAAAGGCTTCACCTGAAGGCCTCTGCTGCGCACAGACTGAGAAGTCTCAGGGGCTTTGCTCTCTTATGTATACTTTCCAAAGTCCTGCATATATACCTTTTATCAATGATGTTCTCTGTAATCCTCATGTTTGATTATTTTGTTAAAAAATTTCATTTTATTCCATCACGTTGTAGAGGAAATTACAGACTCTGATTTCTTTACAGTGGTGGGGAACCAGAGGTTTTGACATGTACAGTGGAAATGCTATCCAAAATGAACCAACGAACCTGCAAGTGTCTAAGTTTTTAGATATAATGTAATATAGAGCTGTGTTATAAGTTAAACATATGTTTTTATAAATAATGTTTTTGGTCAAAACCTCAAAACTGTCATAAAACACTGTCTCAGAAATCAGACATCGTATTTGTAACTCTTTCATATAAGAGCTTTTCAACGCATTAAACTCTTCCGACGTCTGGTTCCTATCACCACCACTGTAAACAAGACTGAGCTGAGCATTTCGCATCAAACCGCTCTGAATGACTTTGCATCTTAACAGCTCAATTATGCAGGAATTTTAAAACACTGGTGGAATTCCCCCTTTAAAGTAAGTAAAACCAAATTTAGGTAAGACATGCTGAAGTGGGAATTACTCACAATGCAAATATTTAAAATAGCTCCACGCTGCGGACCTTTACATGTGAAATTGAGCCTCACTGTCAGGCAGATAAGGTCAGTTTATATTACCTCTATGACAGTGGCATAAACAGAGCATAATGGAGTAAAATAGTCTTAAAGGGTCAGTGTTTTATTAGAATTGACCCATAGAAACTTGTTGTGATTGGTTTCAATAGCGATCTTTTGGATCTGGACATCCCTTCTCTCTCTCTCTCTCTCTCTCAGCTGCGCTCCATCTGTCTCTCACACTGCCTGTGCAAACACAGCAAATCCTGATGTCACTGTGATGACAGCAGCGACTGGGAAGAGCAGAACAAAAACACAGCAACTCTACCACACCTACATATCACCCCCTCCCTCAGAGAAAGAGAGAGAGACAGGCAGAGAGAGGGAGACAGAGAGAGTGAGTGTGTATATCTATATATATATATATATATATATATACTATATATATATATATATATATATATATATAATATATATAATATATATATATATATATACACACACACACATACACACACATACATATATATGTAAAGTTAAACAAATCAAAACAGACGTTTGCTTGCCATCATTATTATTGGTGGTGTTTATTTTACTATTATTTATTTTCTTACTTTTCATGATTACAGTTTGTTCTGACTGTTATCGATATTATTTTAATTAGCTCTATAATTGTTATTAGGTCCACAGAAGCTTTATGGTGCTTTAGCAACACTGTACTTGAGACAGAAATACAAATAAAGCTACTTTTGAACTGAAAGAAAATGAGAGCAAAGTAGAGAGAAATGAAAAGAAAAACAGCTCCAATCTTCTAAAGCAAACTAGCAGTCAGCAGTGAGTAAAGCCCCTCACTCTCAGCGGGCACAGACTGAATCCCCCCACAGAGCAGAAATACAGTGGGATAAAACACAGAGAGAGAGAGAGAGAGAGAGAGAGAATGAAGGAGGGGGTGAAAGGGACAACAGAGAGAGGAAAACAGTGAGGGGAGAGTGAGAGAGGATGGGAGAGTTTGCTATTAATAGCAACATGTCTGCAGAGACTGTCCTCCTGGGAGCAGTGTGGATGTTTCTTGCGAGGCTAGTGGCTGCAGTGTGGAGTCTGACTGAGCTCTCCTGGGTAAACTGGTTGTGCTGACTGCTGTTTTATCCTCTCCACGTGCCAGCATGTTTATCCTGCTCCATCACTGACTCCTTCCACTGCTCACCACAGCCACACACTTATCACTAAACTGTGGGCACATAGTAGTTCAGTACTTAATGGCACATCACTTTCCCACTGTGAGCCCACACTGACCTGTCTACACTCAGATGTGTTAAAAGTAATCAGACACGCCTTCTAATCAGTGAATTCAGCTACTTTAAGGTGCACCATGTA